AGGATTTGTTTGTCCTTTGCTTCATTAAATGTGGTGCTAGCATCTTCCAGAGCAACTTCAAGCGAATTCTGGACATACAAGCTACATGCAAAAGCAGTGAAACTCTCCATACTTTCTTTGCTTTGCCAAAATTGCCCAATATTATGTCCAATGTTTGTCCTTTTTGGAGACAAACATTGGACATGGGGAGCAAATTATACATCCATCATTTGAATACATTCTTCTGCCTGTTTATTTCTTTCTTACAGTGTGAAACATTTTGAAAAAATTCCAAAAATGGCTAGTACCGTCTGGTACCGAGAGTTCCGGGTTTATGGTTTTTAGTACGTGAGCTAGTTAGAAAGTTAATGCTAATATGATTATTAGCCTCCACTGAACTGTGTTTTTGCTTATATTTTCACACTTGTGAGAGAAAAATATGAGCTGTGTTTGATTCTACACATGATTCTGTGTAAATGTAGATATTTATATGCAGAACAGTGACGTACATCACTTCATATCAGCTAATAAGTTAAGATAACTAGCAACCAAGTTAGCTAATTAGATGCTAGGTAGCTAATCAGCCAAATTAGGTGTTTAAGAGGGGTACAACATGAAACCAGTCAATTAAATTTGTTAATGACAGCTCCAGCTGTCTTAGGCAGGTAGAAAATGAACTAGAACTAGAACCATAAGCTGGTTTTCATTTGGTTCAGTGCTTGTATTTGAATGTGCAATAAAAAAGCACCCAAAAACAACAAGCAGTGCATAGTAAGTGCATAAACTGCACAGTAACAAGTAGCTGATTGTGTGTTCACTCAATATGGCATCATTTTTTTTTTCTTATTGTTTGTTTTTCACCTACCACAGTTGCAGTATGTAGCAAAATTATTCCAATACTACATTTTTGCAGTCTTAATCATGATATTTGCCATATTGCACACGCTTACTAAGCGCAAATTCGCCTCAGAGGTGATCCCCGTAGAGCGGCTTTCATATCTTTTCCTGCCATACCGCTCCTGCCTCCCTATAGAATCCTCCTCTCCTCTTTCTTCTCTCTCTGTAATCCCTCTGCATCTTCTTTCACTTTGTTGCGGAACATTTGTCCATTTTCTCCCTCCCGCTCTGTTCATTTTAATGCTTATTTTAACAAGTCCTTTACAACTACAGCCACTATCTTAGATCCTCTGGCACCGCTTGGCTTCCCATTTCTTACATTCAGTGGTTGGCATTGGATCATTCATTTGGTGCCATTGCTCCGAAGCTTTGGAATGCCCCCTTCATAATTGGCCCACCAAGTTAGGACAAAACTCATACCTGAGAAAGAATTTCAACTGATTGATGTGACGAACTGGTATACCATACACTATTATTATTATTATCATTATTACCATTATTATTATTATTCATCTTACCCAGGCTCTTTGTTTCCCCCTGTTTCCTTTTGACCTTGTGTGCTCTCTCATCATCTTCCTTTCTCTTCCACCCACCAACCCCCCCATGCACACTTATTCATTTCTCCACTGATCATAAATATGTCATACAGCTCTGCATCTGTCCATCGACTCACTGTCCACCCCCCATCTCTCTCTTCCACCCCCACCTCAGTACCCTCACACACTTCTGCCCATAAATTACCTTCCACCGAAGAAGAGTGAGGGATGGATAAAGAGGGCAGGGAGAAAGTGGCCAGGGAACAGGGACTGGCGGAGAAAAAAAAGTAGCTGTGCGGGTGGGAGCAAGTGATAGCAGACAGGGAGATGAGGGCCGTGCACAGAGATAAAAAGAGAAAGTCAAAAAGGAGAATAAGAGCTTCGCAAAGGGCATGAAAAGGCAAAGGGAGGTATATTAGTACTTCAAGTGAAACAATGATTCAAAAGGAAGTAAAAGTAGCTTTCAAATAGCAGAAGTGGGCAGCATACCAGTGTATCTGGTTGACATTGTTCTTAAGGTTTTACTTTCATCATTACCAGAAGGCCACAAATAAACACAGATAATGCAGTTTACAAGCCCTCACCTCTTTACCTAAGTCCCTCACCCCTCAAGTAGTGAGCTGCAATCTGAGGTAAGTCGGCCAAGTTTGTTGTCGAAGGAAGGACCCAACATCAGAATGTAATGAGTTCAAGCAGCAACAATGCTGCAACTGGCGATCAGCTGTGTTTTTAGTATCCTCAAAGTGCCTAAATGTGGGTGGTAGGAGAGTTAAACCTGCTCTGGCCCTGGAGCTAGTTAGGGAAAAAGCTCCCCTGCGTCGTCGCAAACAAGGCCTGGAGGCAGAAATCAAGAAGGGTCAACAGCTGGAACTACTGTAATGCTCTTCTAATGTTCTTCTCCAACTCTCAGTGATGTCAGGGTCAACACAGCTCCAAACAGCGAGCCTTAATGGACCCCCCCTCTTTGAAGTATGCTGATGTCTCGGTAGCTAGCTAGCTAAATTACCTGATCAGCACAGAAAAACAAAGAAACTCTCTCTCTGAAAACAATTTTAAACCTTTCAGCATTTAATGCACCATCAATGGCACTGAATCGTACGTTTCTGCTGGATAGATACCACTATGCAACAACAGGTATTCTATTTAATGATAATAATGTGGAACAAAAGCATTCTGAACACATTTGGAACGCACATTAGCCTGAGGAGTGGCAGTGAGGTAGGTAGATCTGATGTTCTTGCAGAGGTACTTGGTGTTTAGATGAGCTGATCAACTTCCTGGCTTTGAAAACTGTTTTGCTGTGTATTCATGAATTCACTTAGAGGTTTGTTCTTGTGCCGTTTTGAGAAGCGATCTGCTGCTTTGTCAGAGAAGCTGATATGTAGGTCAACAGTTTGGAAAGTTAATAAGCTTGTTATTGTCATACTGTTGTAGGCACAATTCAAGTAAGTTTTATCTTTCTTTTTTTCAGTTTTTTTATGCAAATATGATGCTGCAGCCCTCCCCAAATCCCCAGCATTTCCCGCACTTATGATTGCTATAAAATTTTCTTTCACTTTTTTCAGTATCATTTTCAATAAATAAACAAATTCTGCAAAAACAGTTTAAATTCTTTGTAAGTAAGTAAATTTTATTTATATAGTACATTTAACACCAAAGTGCTTTACCGTAAAACACAAAAAGGACTTCCACCTTCCAATCACCACCACTTTACACTGACACAACAGTGGACAATCTTCAATCCACAGTTCAACTCTTTAACAGCTGCTGATTGCTAATCAATAAATGTGTGTTTTAAGCTTAGTTTTAAAAACAGCCACAGATGGCGCCTAATATCACTTGGCAAAAGCACAATCCCCTTTTGGTTTAAGACAAGATTGTGGAACAGTTCAAAGTGACTAGGATGCAGACCTTAAAGATCTTAAGGCCCCCATAAAACTTGTATCTCCAAAATAGTAACTTTACAAGAGATGGAAAAAACATACTTTGCTTTTAATGTAAGTCAGTGAAACCAGACTTTTTTCCAGGTCATCTTGGGTCGTTTCTTTTGGTCCATTTATCATGAAATTTACACACAATATAAAGGGCAACAGGTATTTTCAAATTATGTCAAAACTGAAAAACGGAGACATTAATGGAGATACAAGGCTTTCTTCCGACAGCAGTTCAGCCCCACCCATTCACGATGAAGTTATAAGGAGTGTTTCGGCCTGGACTGCCTTAAATAAGGCCCAGGTTTATTTACACTGAGCACAGCATCAAAAACAGCCTGTTTAATCATGAGGGATAAAGAAAAGCTGGAACTTTACTGGAAATCAGCACTATAGTAGTTTTAAACAAGTACTATGTGAAAAAGTTTCGAGAGCTGTTAAGTTTTCTTTCTTTAACAGCTTCTGAATGGCAGTGCAAAAATGTTGATGTGTCTTCATTATCATTTAAAACCAAGAGAAACAGCTACCACTTTTTTGTCTGACATTGATTTATGTGGACCGTCTGCTGAGAGCTAAACAACCGTCTACCCATTACATCACAAGTGGCAATCATTGGGGTACAAGCACCACACGCCTTATGCAGTCGGTAAAGGCCTTTTTGTGGAAAGAACAGAAATGATGAATGGTGTTTTGAGAATTGCCTCTATTTATAACTGATGAGGAGAAGGAGAAGGCCAAAGAGGGCCACATTTTACACACACTGACCTTTTGACCTTGGTTTGGTAGGAAATAGGTTTTTAAGAAAGTTCAAATGGAAAGCAGTACAATTGTTGACATATAGCTACCATCGGAATAAAAACTTGGATCTCCATTTTTCAGCTTTTGACATAATTTGAAAATGCCTGTTGGCCTTCACATTGTGTGTAAGCTTCATGATGACTGGACCAAAACAAACGGCCCAAAATTCTGGTTCCTTTGACGTACATTAAAAGTAAAGTATGTTTTTTCCTTCTCCTGCAAAGTTACCATTTTAGAGATACAATGTTTTGTGATACATTAGCATAGCTATTGAATGGAATCATTTTACAATGACTTTGCAATTACTTCTTTCCCTGTATTTTAACACCAAAGTGCACCACCAAGTTTCATTTTTTTTAGGTTAAAATCACCGTAATGTTCTCCTGGCGGACCATGCCTCTGGACCAAGCCTTTCTGAACTTTCATCTTAACTGCTCGCACATTTGAATGTCTGAATCTGGTAGGTTTGAAATGATTAGCCTCGTGATTACCATGGCTGTGAATAATTCTAAAGAAAACTGAGTACTGTATGGAATGAGGTATAATCAGTAGTGTGCTTGATGTTTAATAAAGTGTTTTCATTATAACAGGAGATAATTATGTACTATGAGATAATTATAAAGCTCTTTGAACTTAAATGCACTTATTTGGCTTATTTGAACAAAAACTATGGAAAAAAAAATCAGAATCACCACTGCTTGACGTAAGCATTTTTAAGTAAAGATTGATCCTCAAAAAGAAATATTAGGATTGGAAGCATTAATACTTCAACACTGATCCCTAGAAGATGGACTGAATAGGCATATAGATGAGACAGAAACGGAGACAGAGAAGTAAAGAGAGAGAGACTTTGACTTACAGCAGAGGGAGAGAAGAATGGTGGACTGCAAAACGAGGGCACTGAGAGAACGAGTGAAACGGAGAGATCGCTGGCCTGGTCTCATTGTGTATTGAGTCTCAGAAGCTGATCAATGACTCTTCTGTAGCTGGGGCCAGCACACTTCTCTCACACACACACTCATTCCACTCTCACACACACAGACTTTGCTGTCACACAGCTGAGCCTCAGCTAAATTATAACCACTAAACAGCACTACGCTAACACAGCAGAGGAGAGCGAGTGTGCAGCTAATTATAACACTTCACCAGCAGTACCCAACCATTCAAACACTCATCGTCGCGCTAACGCACTCTTTCATAACCCATGGCTGATCTCCACAAATTAAAGTACTCCAACCTTCATGTTTAAGGACAAAAAACCCTCTTAATGCTGCATAATTTCCACACTTACTTATGCTATTAACCAGGACTACTGTTAACACGCAAAGACTGTGTTAATTTGTTCTGCGCTTTGATAATGAATAGCACACACGAAGGAACAGGGGTGGCTATAGCTTGTCAAGAGTGTTCTGCTAATACTGTGCAGCTGTAGCCACCACCACTGTGGCTAACAAGCGAATTTACTGTTCTCCTGCCTATTTTTCTGAACAAGATGTCTTTTGGGGGAGCTGTTAGTTCTTTTTTGAGGCTTTTAATGCCAACACAGAACAATTTGGCCAAGGGAGCACTGCTGAAAAGGCTATTGTGCTGCTACAGCCGTCACGCTAGCAAGCGAATTTTGCTAGCCACTTTCCACCAGAAAGCTCTTCTAGACAAGATTTCTTTTTGGGGAGCTGTTATTTTTTATGAGGCTTTTTAACAGTTGTTAACACTGAACAGGTCAAGAGAGCACTGCTGAATAATGTGTGACCACAAATGTGATGCTAGCTAGCAAACTCGGCTAGGCACTTTTCTCCAGTCCACCCTTTTTACCAGAAGATGCCTCTTTATGGAGCTGTTCGTTCTGCTGTTTTGAGGCTGTAAATGCTGCTGTAACACAGATTGGTTAAGAGAACCCTAATTATTTCTGTGTGCTACAGCTAGCAAATCTATTTTTTCATGAGTAAGAACGCTTTAGTCCTTTTTAAGGCTTTTAATGCTGCCGAAAATGTTTATCAAGACAGCTTCTACAGCCGTTATCCTAGCAAATCTTCCACCAGCATAAAAACTCTTTTGCACATGATGCCTTTTTGTGGAGCTTTTAGCTTTTTCTGGATGTTAGCTCCTTTTTAGCACTGTTAATCCTGCTGTTATACACAACAGTTTGTGCAAGAGAGTGACACGGCTAGCAGTTACATTAGCATGCAAAGTTGCCGCTATCCACCAGTCTGACAGTTCTTCAACACAAAATGCAGCTGCTATTGTGTTATTGTTGCTGTCGTAATGCCGAAAATAACACACTAGTTAGCAAACTTGGCCTATCCACCAGTATGATACCTCTACAAGCCTTTTTTGGGGGGTTGTTGCTTCTTTGTTAGTGCTGCTATAGCACACAACAGTTTTGATTTTCGTATCTACCACAAGACTTGGCCTTCAGCTCTGACTGTTGTGCCTTCTAGCTAATGCTCATATCTCCACAATACCGAGACCGGCAACAATGCTACATCAAACATCAGATCAATACAGGTTTGCGGTAGGGTGAACCAGCTCTATGCAACTTCATCTGAGGAAAAGATAAGCCTCAAGCTCTATAAGGGAGAAAAAAAAAAACAAAAGAAAAACAAACACACCTCAATGAGCTTTCTTGGGAAGAAAGTGCTAGTTCTTCAGTGCTAACAGTACAAAAGCCTTTTTTTCTTCAAAATGATACTACAAGTTGTGTCCTTCATAAATACTAATTAGCCTTGCAATTGTAGCTAGCATATGTGCTATCGTGTTCAAGCCAGTAGCAGTTGAAGCGAATGAAATCAGTCCAGTAGCTACAGATCCCGCCACGCTACATCAAACACACATCAAATATTAAAAGCCACTGCTCCGACAAGTGCCAAACTGAGACCGAATTTTAGACCGAATGTGTAACAGCACCAACCTCACTTCTACCCATCAGTGGGTGCGATATGTCTCATCACACGGTGCTGAGCCCAGCCTAGCAAAGCGCCTCGCTCTACTGCGCACAGCTCCAACACACACACTTTCACGCTCCCACAAACACACACTGGCACAGTGGCAGTCCTGAGGTGCGACGCGCCTCTGACTGGCAGGGCTAATATCCACAGTGTTGGAAAGGCGGCGAGAGCGTAGGTGAACTGTGTAGCACGTTGCTATCTGATGGAAGGCAGTGGCTGTGTCATCAACAGATGGTAATAAAACTGCAAGCCAGCCAGGGCCTCTGGTAAATAAATGGCAAGCCAGCCAAGGCCTCTAGTCAGCAAACCCTGCTGCAAATGAATACAATATACAGCACCAAGCGCAAGAGTGTCCCTCAGGTAGCTACGGCAACCGCGCTTCCAATCAGTTCTCTCCAAACCACCAGGCTCCTCTGTGGTCAGTAAGGTTCAGTCACTGCCGAGTTACTTCACTGCCTCCTCGTTTCTTTTCTTTCTCAACCGTTTTCTGTCCTCCTCTCCAAGACGTCTCAGCTCAGACTGTCCTTCATCTGCTCTGTCCAGCCGCTGTCCCTTCAGTAATCCCAAACTTGAGCCTTGGGTGGGTTCTCTGCCTCCTGCTTTTATAGCCCTTGTCGCCTTCATGCACATTGTTTGCACTGGGATTGTGTGTGCGTGCCCAAGCCTGCAGATGTACATCCCAAATATCAGTGATTTTTGTGAAGGCCGGCTGACAATGGCCTCCATTCAGATGGCCGAACAGAAGGTCAGTCACACACTCCTCGTCTCTTTTCATTCTGGGTTCTTCAATTTGGGTTTTTTTCCTGTGCCATTGCTCTCTTTCTGACCGGCCTGACAGTTCAGTGTCTGTCAGGCACACAGAGAAGCTTCACAATGTCACGAGCTGCTTCTTTCACTAAATGTTCTTGATGGGCTTCATTCAGTAATACACAGTAATACACGGTATATATCTGTGAATGCACTCTTCTATGTTTAAATGTATAGGGTATATATGGAGCGTGTAAGGCCTCAGTGTCGGAAGCACCAGGTAACAGCGATGTAGCCAGGAATCCTTTTCAGCGAGACATGAAAACACTAAATATAGGCTGATCACTGTGTTCATTTATTTAAAATGTATAGGATGTGATTTAACAGGCAAGGTCATAGGTTTGTGTGTCACAAGCTACCTTTGAGCAGGACTTCTCATTTTAGTCCCATTATATTAGTTACTCTGATTAAATAAATCAGTGAGCCCTTGTTGATCTCAGTTCCGTTCTACATATGCCCACATGCTTGTTCGTTTCCAGTAGTGAAAGTGCTGCTTTTCCACAGTGGTCACACACACAAAGCTTCAATTCCTCTTGCCGGTCCATTTTACTATAAGCAACGTGGCCATGCATGCGTCACAGCTACTCCTGGGGCAGATTTTAGTTTGAGTTAAAGGCCTTTGAATGCATCCCTGGCAAGACATTAGGTTCATTCTCATCTTGCCATTGAAGTAATGCTGTTAAAATAGCTCTATTGTTCTACTCATCATGATTCCCATTTTAAGCCATTCTGTCCCAAACATAGTGATAGCAATTGTAAGCACCCTACATGATGCTACCAAGCTAGCAGGGTGAAGGCTACCACATGCTTTCTTCAAGATACGTGAAGCACCACAGTATTTTTCCAAATTGCCACTAACTCAACATCATTGGACAGCTTGATCAAATCCCTGTAAACCTGCTTTGTGACGATCTCAAAAGTAACATGTACTATACAAAATAACATGAACTGAATTAGACTGAGCTCATCGCACTTGGAGGAGAATGCTAGCTTCAAATTCTGTTACATGAGCTAACAAATGCCTATGTTGGCTAGCATTACGCTGAGTGATGTGGGGAAAGCGAGGGTCACCATGTCCATCTAGAGAGAGTGAGGCCAATTATGCTGTCTTGAACTCCCGGGTTACGGATGGCTGTGGCATCACTGAGGAACGAACTCACAATCTCCCGCTCAGAGAGATTCTGGATGTGTTTCAGACCATTTACGTATTAATATCAAGCTCAAAAGAAGGTCTCGCTCAATGTTTAGGTCTCAAATTCAACATTCTAGAGATGCAGATATGATTACAACAGTAGATATTTCACTTACATCCTCAAAGGCACTTCCTTCACCAAGTCACGTCAGGTTTTGACAGGGTCCTTTGAATATTCTTTAAATGAGCTCGCAAAAGGTCTGAATCACAACTGATGTTCTAAAATGTTCTTCCACATGTTGCATGCAATTACACATTTCCACCAGAGAGGTCTCCAAATCCCCAAGACTTACACAGTGCAGCTTTGAACTCTGCAAGAATTTACGCACTAAAATTTGGAGAAAAACATCAAGCTTTTCAAACCTTTGCATGCAACCATAGTTGTATTTGACTTAGCCTAAGGGTGACATATTTCAGGGTGGGTTCAAGTCTGATCTCCTTCCCTCCTCAGGTACGCCAGGTAAGCGACAGATGCTTTGTGAATGAAGGTATTTGCAGCTGTGTGCAAAATGAATATGTGTCCTTCGATGAATATGTTTTCCAAAGCATTTCTATTCACATTGTCTTCCCAAATTAGCTCAAATTGAACACACACGGCCAAGTCCACCCTGTCACAAGCGATTGTCATTTCGGTGGAAGCACAGATGCCAGTTAATTTACGCACCTCACATTCATTACTGTGAACCTTCACGTGAGAGAGAGAGAGAGAGAGAGAGAGAGAGTGTTGTGTGTGTGTGAGAGAGAGAAATTGCGTTCCCATCCCTCTTCCTGTCTCCCCTTTCCAATTCTCATCCAAATCAAATTGTTAATGGGCTTCATTGGCGTTACAATGGAATAAGAGTTGCCAAAGCACTTAAGGGGCTTAAGACAGCTGCGTGAGGCTCATGTTAAACAGTGCAGCTCCACAATCACCTCCCAATCCTGTTTATCCATTCCGAACCTGCTCCAGTTTGCATCCAAAATCATAGATACCGCAGTTTTAGGCTCCCAAATGGCATAAACTCTAAGCTTTCCTATTGGGTCCTCAGGTAGAACTTCTACAGCAAAAACTCTATTTGTATATCAGTGGCGGAGACCTATAGGCTACCTTAAAGGGGAATTCCACCCATTTTTCTGTATAAGTTCTTTAAAATTCACTATTAAGAAGTAAACAAAGTAATTCAGGGGTTGATGTGAACTGTATGGAAGTCCGGAGAGGTCATGAGTCCTCTAATTTTCAGGATTGTTATCGTGAGATAACAAGATAAGTAACTTGTTATTTCAAGAAAACAATTTTGTTATCATGAGATGAGTCATTCGTTATTTCAAGATAACAATTTTGTTATCTTGGGATAAGATAAATAACTTGTTATTTCAAGATAACAACTTTGTTATCTTAGATGACAATAATTTACTCGTTACCTTAAGATAATAACTTTTGTTATCTCGAAATGTTAAGTAACTTATTATTTCAAGATAACAAATTTGTTATCATGAGATAACAAGATAAGTAACTCATTATTTCAAGATAACAACTTTGTCAACTTGAGAAGACAAGATAATTAACTTGTTATCTTAAGACAACTTTTGTTATCTTGAGACAACGAGATAAGTAACTCATTTTTTCAAGACAATTTTGTTATCTTGAGATAACAAGATAAGTAACTCATTATTTCAAGACAATTTTGTTATCTTGAAATAACAAGATACTTAACTCATTATTTCCAGGTAACAACTTTGTCATCTTGACAAGAACAGATAATGATCTTGTTATCTTAAGATAACTTTTATCTTGAGATATCAACGTTTGTTATCTTGAGATAACAAGATAAGTAATTTGTTATTTCAAGATAACAAATTTATTATCTTGACATAACAAAATAATTTACTTGTTATCTCAAAATAACAATCCAGAAATGTATAACTACCTCAGGGTCTCTGCGGAATCTGTAGAAATGCTCCGTTCTAGAGAAACGAACCTGGTAAGAAATGTCCATAGTGGTGGTGAAAGGAACCATACATTCACTTCTAAAAGCTCGGTGTGAGGAACACTCTGCAGGAGACACTGTTCTGTGATAGTTTGAGAAGGTTTGGGCCTTTTTCTAAAATTCATTCATGGTAAAGGGATACATGCAGAGATAATGCAGCATAAAATAGTCCCCAAAGAAAACATATTTTTCAGATTTACCACCATTTTGCCATTTTCAAATGGCACAATTCAATAGTTGAAATGTAAACAAGTCATTCAGAGTGGTTTGATGTGAAATGGTTCATTCTAGAAAAGTCACCGATTCTGATGTCTTTACAATAGTGGTGATAGGAACCAGGAGTCACAATAACTACAGTGCAAATGCAGCCAATTTACTGAACATCCACAATGACCAGTGAGCGCTGATGATGGTAAATCAGTGGTAAATAAGCTTTCTTTGGGCTGTCACGCATCCATCGGGCTCTCAAACACACCCGCACTCCATCTCCCAGAATCCTCTGGAAGATCACCTGACTCCTGACCTTCCCTCGCGTTCCAATCAGCGCTCTCCCTCACCGGAGTACTGATTCTGTTCACCTGTGTTGTATGTCATATGATCCTCTTAGTTTAGTTTATAAGCCCGGGCTTTAGTATAGACTAGTTGCGAGGTATTGCATCACTATTGATCTACTGAGCGTTCTATTGTTTGTTGGCTTCCTGTTCATGACCAATGTTCCCCGTTTTCTCGACTCTGCCTTTTGCCTGACCCTTTGGATTGTTTGCCTCTTTGTGATATCACCGTTTATGACCTTTTTTGCCTAACTTGTTTTGCACTGTTCGCCTATTGTTATGTTTGTCTTCCTGTACTGGCTGTGTTTTCTGGATTTGACCCCTGCTTGTTTTGTGACCACGAACTTGGACTTTGATTTCACCAGTAAAGCCTCATCTGAGCTTTTTGACCGTAAGCACCTGACTCTTTCTGGCACATTACATGGGCATAATTTGCCTTATAATGCTCTACATGTACTAGGGTTGGGCTGATAGACAATACCATCATCCCTCATCAGTGGTAACAGCCTAACTTTACACCAATTATTCGTGCTAATAAAGTCATTTAATTTAAACTGTTTATCTGTGTTTACACTGAGAGTCAGGTACAGGCACAGAATCATAAAGTATTCCCTTTTCACAGCAGTGTCTAATGTAGAAATCTGCTTTTGTAAACCTGCGTTTTAATAATGTACCTTTTCACCATAATAGCAAGCTATATTAGCATCAAGCTAGCCGGACTAGCTCAGCGCTACTTGGGATTTTCATCTCACCTCTAGGTTAAATATGGACATGTTTAGCTTGTAACAGGCATGTGAGTAACATTATTCACTTTGTTTATCTCTGTTTTTGAGTAACGCTTTATTTAAAGCTTAAACATGAAGTCTTTTATTATTGTAGCGTTAGCCTAGCTTTCTGCTACCTGTCCAGCCTACTAGCGATGGCAGAGTATAGCCAGTTCTAAAGATAATATCATGTGTAAAGCATTAAAGCAAGTCTGTTAGGAGCAAACAGTGATGGCAGTTTATCATCTGGTTGTATTTAATAGACACTATTAATAGGCTT